CACAGGTAGTAAATGTCTGAAGCTGGTTTTGAACTCAGGTCTTCCTGAGTCCAGGCCTAGCACTCTATCCATTGAGCCATCTAACCTGCAACATAGTAAATGTTTAGTAAATAAATCCTTGATTATGACTTGTTGACTAGTTAAGAGACCCAGGTATGAATCCCAGCTTGGACACTTATGAACTGTGTGACCCTGGGCAAGTCTCAACCTGTGGGTGCCTCAGTCATCTCATCTGTAAAATAGAAATAATATTTTCACTGCCTAGAGCAATCAATAACAAACATCCATTAAGTGCCTACTAGGTGTCTATCTCTGGGATTACAAAGACATAAGCAAAACAATGCCTGCCTTCACTGAGTTTATGTTCTTTTGTGGAGAAACAACGTGTATGTATAGAAGTATATAGTAAATAATTACAAAGTAATGGGGGGGATGGGGTTAAGTCCCTATGAGTCAGGGGAAATCAGGAAAGGTCTGAGCCTTGATTAAAACTAGGTATTCTAAGAGGCAGAGATGAAGGAGGGGAACATTCCAGGCATGGGAAAGAGAAGTGCCCAACACAGGGACAGAAGATGGAATGTGGGGTGTGAAAAACAGCAAGGGGAAAGGGAAGAGAAAGAGAACAAACATTTATTAAGCACCTCCTATGTGCCAGGTATTATGTGTTAAGCATTTTGCAAATATCATCTTCACAACAACCCTGAAAGGATGGTGTTATTATTATCCCCATTTTACAGTTTAAGAAACTATCATTTGTCGAGGGTCACACAACTAATAAGTTTCTGAGGCTGGATTTGAACTCAGGTCTTCCTGACTTCAGGCCCAGTGTTCTATCCACTGTGCCACCTAGCTGCCTCCATAAAGCAGTAAGAAGCCTAGTTTGACTGTACCATACATCAAGCACAGTAATGTGTAAAAAAGCTGGAAAGATAGGTTGGGGGGAGGGGGGTTGGGACAGTTAGATACCTCAGTGGATAGAGAGTGCAGGGCCTAGAGTCAGGAGGACTTGAGTTCAAATCCTGCCTCAAATATTTATTAGCTGTGTGACCCTGGGTAAGTCACTTAATCCTGTTTGCTTCAGTTTCCTCATCTGTAAAATGAGCTGGAAAAGGAAATGGCAAAGCGCTTCAGTATCTTTGCCAAGAAAACCCCAAATGGGGTCACAAAGATTTGGACACAACTGAAAAACAGCTGAACAACATTACAGGTGGGGGGAGGCAGCTTTGAATGGCAAATAGAGCCCTTCTCTGTGGAAAAAGTCCATCGTAAACCTGAAAGTGCTAAAAAGAGGTGAGCGATTATTTTCTCTAGAGCGGCAAAAATTTGAATCATGCCTGAGCTTGTTTGGGTTCCTAACATGCCCTAAGGGCTCAAACCTGTATCATCCTGGAAAAATCATTCAGCAAGTCTTTATTACAGTATCTACCATGAGCCCAGCTGTGATAGGCACTGAGGTGGGACATGGGGGGAGTTGAAGGTACACTCCCTGCTGGAAGAAAGGTATTCACAGAACTCAGTAAGTAGCAATATAAGGTAGAATGTGATTGAAAAACGAGATAAATGGTAACCTAGTGATGAGGTTGGGCAGCTTGGTGATGCAATATATTGAGCGCCCGGCTTGGAGTCAGAAAGATCTGAGTTTCAAATAGGATCTCAGACACTTACCAGCTGTGTGACCCTGGGCAAGTCACTTAACCCTGTTGGCATCAGTTTCCTCATCTGTAAAATGAGCTGGAGAAGGAAATGACAAACTGCTCCAGTATCTCTGCCAAGAAAACCCCAAATGGGATCACGGGTGAGTGGATTCAACAACAACAAAGTAATGAGGTTCTTCATTATTTTTGTGTCATAGACACCTTTGGCAACCTAGTGAAGCCTAGAGCCTTACTAGTTCTTTCACCTGGGCCAAGTCACATCTTTTGCACATCTTTGCAGAACAGTTTTTAAATGCATAAAATACAATATATAGAGTTATCAAGGAAATCAATTATATCAGAATAAAGATGAAATTTTTTCTCAACCAAGTTAATCGACCCCACGACATCTCTCATGGACCCCTATAATGGAAAGGCCTGGGTTTGGAGTCAGGAGAGATTTCAGTTCAAATTCTACCTCTGATCCTTGTTAGCCAAATAGAAGAGTCACTGACCTTCTCTGAGCCCCACTTCCCTTGGCTGAAAATTTTGCTCTTCAATCTTTTATCTTTAAATTGGGGGTGACATTACTTATCTTACCTACTTCACAGGTTTCTCATGATATTCAAATGAGATAGCCCATCGACTGCTTTGGAGTGTTTTTCAGTCTCTTCCAATTATTCATGACCCCGTTTAGGGTTTTCTTGGCAGAGATACTAGCTAATTAGCATCAGAGATAGGATTTGAACTCAGGTCTTCCAACTCTAGACACCATGTCACTTGGTTTCCTTCTAAATATCATTGCCACTCACTAAGCTTGAGTTTCCAGAGTTATCACATGTTTTCATAACAACCCAGTGTAAGATTAACAAGGAAAGGGGCAGCTAGGTGGCATAGTGGATAGAGCAAAGGCCCTGGATTCAGAAGAACCTGAGTTCAAATCTGGCCTCAGACACATAAAAACACTTACTAGCTGTGTGACCCTCTGCAAGTCACTTAACCCCGTTGCCCCCCAAAAAAAAAATTGACAAGAGAGCCAATATAATCTGATAATCCATTTTCCATTAAATAATTAGATTAGATAATGGATAATAATTAGATAACATCTTGCTAATTATGATCTGAAGCTCTCCATCACCTTGAGCGACCAACTCCTTTGCTTCAATTCTTTATCTTTTCTTCAAAGACATAGCAATTGGACCCAAGACATTACCTGTAAGTTTTAAGGAATTCTGTCCTCTACTTTTTTTTTTACTTTAGTTAATCAAAAAAATTTTAAATAAATTTACTGATACTTTTGTTTTATATCACCTACATTTCTTAATCTCTCTCCTCTCTCTCTCCCTCCCAAAGAACCACACCTTATAACAAAAAATTTAAAAAAGAAAAAAAAAAGTTCAGCAAAAACTAATCCACATTTTAAAAGTCTGACATCATATGTAGTATATTCTACACCCATAGTTCCCCAGATCTTCAAAATAGGGGGCAGTTGCCTGCTCATATCCTTTCTTTTGAGCCAGACTTGGTCATTATAATTTTGTGCACATTCAGTTTTGATTGTTACATTATAGTTGGATTGTTTTGTTTATATTACATTTCTTTCAGTTTACTTTGTTGTTGTCATTATATCTATTGTTGTCCCAATTCTACTCACTTAACCTCTCCTATATCTACTTCTGTTTCTCTACATTCATTATGTTCATTGTTTCTTATAGCATAGTAATATTCCATTACATTCATGTACCATAACTTACATAGCTATCCTCCAATTGATGGATATAGTGTTTGTTTCTTGTTCTTCGCTACTACAAAAAGTATTGTTGTAACTATAGTGTATCAGACCTTTTTATTTATCAATAACATCCATGGGTATATGTCCAGCAGTGGAATCGTGGGGTCAAAGGTGTGTGAATATTTTAATTACTTTTCTCTCATAATACCAAATTTCTTTAGAAAATGGTTAGACAAATTCATAACTCTACCAACTCTATATTAGTAAGCCTTTCTTTCTACAACTCCAACACTGACTATTCCCATCTTTGCCAATTTTCTGAATATAAAGTGAGTTGTTTCAGAGTTGTTCTGATTTTTATTTCTCTTATAACTACTAATAGGAACATTTTTTCATATGATTGTTAATAGTTTGTTCTTATTTTGAGAACTATTCATATCCTTTGACTACTTATCTAGCAAGGAATGGCTTTTTGTATTATGTATTCCTATTAGTTGCATGTGTTTCTCACATATTAGACTCTTATCAGATATATTTGAAACAAACATTTTTTTCCAGTCTACACCTTTCCTTTTTATTCTAGTTGCATTAATTTCATTCATGCAAATGCTTTTCAGTTTTATTTATAACTTTAAGGTTGGAGACTGGATCTCACAGGGACTGCGGTACTGTTCTAGTCCATGTTCTATACCCAGGAATGGGGTTTGGGGAGTATTGGGGAGCTTAGCCTCTAATGAGAGGGCAGTTAGTTTCCCTGTTCTTATACTTGGTCTTATTAAATTCTCATTTTGACACCCTGGGAGGATTTTACTTATTACTTGGGTTGTGGCTTACATCTAGGGTTTCCCCAAAATGAGGAGAACAGAAAGGGTACTCAATCACCTCCAAGAGATATTTGTTCACCTAAGATCAGAAAAGAATAAACACAAGGTAGGACATGTACTTTATTTGTTTTTTGGGGTTTGTTTTTTTTTTAGGCAATTGGGGTTAAGTGACTTGCCCAGGTCACACATCTAGTAAGTGTCAAGTGTTTGGTCTGAGGCCAGATTTGAACTCAAGTCCTCCTGACTTCAGGGCCGGTGCTCTATCCACTGTGCCAACTAGCTTCCCCGGACATGTACTTTAGATACCCTCACACTGCCCTATAACTGAGAAGCTGCTGTCTGTATTATGGAAATAATCCATTATCTATCCAGGCTTCTTGGAGGTGGGCCTAACAACTAGTCTTCCTTTAAGAAGACAATGTACAGGGGCAGCTAGGTGGAAAGAGCTCTGGCCTTGCGGTCAGGAGGACTTAAGTTCAAATCTGGCCTCAGACACTTGATACTAGCTGTGTGACCCTGGGCAAGTCACTTAACCCCAATTGCCTTACCAAAGAAAAGAAAAAAGAAGTCAATGTACAGCCCTTCCCAGGTGCCCTGAGGGAGTTATGGGGGCAGTGTATGTTAAGTGGGTCAAACCACTACTACCACCTCCACTATCCTCCACTTAGGCCTTGATGGAATCAGCCTTGGCCCAAGAGTCCCAAGAATAGTGGTACCACCAAGTCCACCAGCCTTGCTTCCACCCAGAGCTCTGCAACCATCATCAAGGGGACAACAATCCTTGTGAAGAAGAGAGGGTGGGAAGGAACAAGCATTTATTAACCACTTAATATTTGCCAGATACTGTGCTAAGCATTTTACAGATATTATCTCATTTGAGGAACCCAATATTCCTACCACCATCAACAACAACATCAACCAGATTATGCATAACCAATTGTCAACAATGGGCAGGGAAGCCTAATGGTCTCAGGTTTTAGGTCCTCCCTCTAGCTTAGCCCCTGCAGCCATCATTCAGTGGAGCCAGGGCTGAAGACCCCATCTTCTCATCAATTAGAGCTCCTGAAGATGCAGGAAGGAAAGTTCTCACCACCAAAGTTCTTGTCCCTGACAAATGGCAACAGAAACAGAAAAGGTACTGTCAATTAGAATGATACTAAAGAAGATTCATTACTATCATGAGGAATGTTGCTTAGCTTATGAACAACTGGACCTTTTTATCAGACTTGTATCTGAAATAATAATAATAATAGCTAGCATTTATAAAGTGCTTTAAGGTTTACAAATTACTTTACATGTGTAATGGAGGACTGGGCTGTGCCTACTATGGGGAGACTTGGTGAGCCTGCTTATGGAAGGTTGATGATATCTAATGGAAGGCCCTGTTCTCTACTTTGGAATATGTGTCACTCTTCTATGGCTGTTTCTGATCTACTAACTACATGGTAAAAAAGATGGACTTCTGATTGGCTGCTGAGTCAGAACAGGGAGGGTGTACAAGATTTCCTTGGGAACAATTTGGCCTTTTCTCTTTCCTTGGTATCCATCAACAAGGAAGAGCTGCTGTGGACTTGTGGGTGGAGATGACCTTTGTCACTGCAGTCTGTGTGAAGGCTCAAGCTCACCGCCCTGGTGTTGCTGAGAGAAAAATGCCAGCATTAGTGGCGTGTGACTCTTCCCACCCATGCCAAAAGCACACGGCCCTGCTACTGCTTGTGTCTCTGTTGTGTCTATTCTTTTCTGTCTTAGGTGAAGAATTGTTGGAGTTGGAACAGACTATAATACGACCTTGTGAATTTTAAGTGGTTAAGAGAGACCTCAGAGGTCTGTTTCAGAGCCCAGTATACCAGCACAGCCCAGAGGTGTAACTAGGACCCTTTCTGACAGTGAATGGACCCTATAGCCAAGATGCTGCAGGAAGTGACTCTGTCCATTGGTCATGCCAAATCTGGAAGTGAATTAGGTGGGAAGAATGGTTTGGAGCAATTGCTTTAAGGTTGAATCCACTCTGAGGACGGTATGCCCCTTGGTGTTGGAAGGGAAATGATTTGGACTTCTCTTCTTGTTATATCTTCTCAGTAAATAATCCTTTATGAAAATTAATTGATGTTAATTGGCTAAATGATACTGAAATGTTAAATGATAATTAATATTAGGGCAAATACATTAGAAGAGGACCTCTAGCCAATGGCATTAAGAAAAGACACTCCCAACCTCTCCATGGTACCCCTAGGACCCTAAGGATGAGATATAGCTAGCCTTGCTCTGGGGGACCTTACTCAATGATGTGAGTGGGGGTTGAGCTAAGAACTCCCTGAGTATAAGCCCAAAATATCTCATATGTTATCCTCATAACAGCCCTGTGAGGTAAGTGTTATTATTTACTCCATTTTACAAATGAGGAAACTGAGGCTGAAAGTGTTTAAGTTACTTGCCCAGAATCACACACCTAGTTAGTATCTGAGGCAGGATTCAAAATCAGGTCTTCTTGACTTCCAGTCCAGCCTTCTCTGTACTTCTGCACCTATATTTCTTGTACAGATAGTAAATGCTTAATGACTGCTTTTTAACTCATTCATCAACAGAAATGCTTCCACTTCCCAAGAACCATTTTGTCAGGAAGCAGCTAGGCCACTGATAAACGAGCAAATTCCCCTTGAAGCATGATCCTCCTTTCCCCAAGTGCAGAGAGATAATCATTTCTGGTTTGATAATAGCTAATACAACCCACAGTAATTTGCCAAGCGATCTGCCAGCCAACCACCGCTCAGGTAGCTCCAAAATGGGTGGAGAACCACAGCTGAAACATCTGGAAATGGCACATTTCTTAATTGCTAGAGGAGGAAGAGGATAAAGAAAAGGAAACACCCACTATTAAGCCAATCCTAGAACATGCCTGAAGCAAAAAATATTAGCCAGAAGAAAGGAAGAGGACACCTCTTCCCCAGCCTCCACCAAGAACTGAAGGTTGAAATAGCTCTTCTTTTCTTACATTTGTACAAAGGTCTCCCATATTGGGGGGGTGGGGGGAAGCCCTCTAGGGAAAAGAAATGATGCCTATCCACATTTCCCTAAGAAAGAAATGCCTGTTTTCTTTTATAACCTGCACTTCCAGGCTCTCTGCCAAGAATGTGAAACGTACTTACCACTAAGCTTCTGAAATATATGTGCATATATAGGTTAAGGCTGGAAGCAGGAGGAAAAGCTATAGCACTCCAGCAGGAAATATTTAATCTTTGACAATAATTAGAAGTAGGCTTCTCCCTACTTTCAGTAGAGCTAGTTGGGTCTCTGAATTTTGATGTGCACACCAGCAGATGTCAGTTCAACCCCAGAAATCAAAAGCCCTTCTGTTCATCATGCTTATAAAAAGCACGGTAACAAAATTGTTTCTTAGCGATAGTATTTCTTAACCCAAGTCCTTGATTTACTTTAAAGTAGGATGTTTTAAACTCATGATATCCTAGGGCCACAGAAACCAAATGGAAATAATCAAGCTTCTACCCCCTTTCATCTGTGTGAAAGAGAACTGGTCTTGCCATCCAACATCTGTTTGGGAATAGCTCTTAGGCAGAACATCTAATTAGAAGTCAAGTTCCCGGTGAATCTGGGCTGCGACAAAATTGTGACAGCATCAAGAGAAAGAGGCATGATGAAATGGTAAGCAGACAGCATCCTTTCTTCACCTGTAGCTCTTAAATGCTCCCTGGTCCAAGTTCATCTGAATTTGGATACCTGACTTGGACAAGTGCCTAAAAAGGCAAAGAGGAAATCAAAGTCATCGTGCTTGAAGAACTTGGAGGATTTTTGAATTGGCAAGCAAATGGCATTGTAGACAAATAGTTGCCTATGAAGACTGGGGAGACGTGTAAGTTAGACAAATTTTGAGAAAGTCTCACGATGCCTTGATTTATGGCACTGTCTCTTCTGCCACAAAGGATTCAGATCAAGGCAGCTCCCAATGACCAATGAAATTTGGTTTCCCATCCATCTTGTCCATGTCCTTATATAAATTTTCCACAAGAAGGTCTGTCAAAAACACAAATGAGTCACATCAACATGGGATGAGCTCATATACCCATCAAAATACGGAACTTGCTCAGAACTCACCTGGGAAGCAATTTACACCTAATCTCGGAGAGCATGAACAACAGTGGTATTAGTTGAAACTTATGCTAGTGAGATGATCTTTCCTCTGAAGTAGACACTAACTTATCTGGTCCTGGGATTGTAACTAGGGTGGGTAAAAATGGGCTTTGACCCAGGACATCAACACCATGAGGATCTTGACAGAACTCCTATTTACTTCTTCAACAGCATCGACCTGGGCTGCAATTTCTTGATTGTTCATCCAGGAGGATGGTTTTGATTTTTAACTTCAGAAGAAGAGTCTCCCCTCCAAAAAAGCTTCCGCAGGATTTTGGTTACCCAATCTGTCCAGCAGGCTGAGGCTTCTCATGCAGCTCCTCCTAATGGGAATAGATAGGAAAGGAAGCATAAAAGGACAAATGTGTTATGCAAGCCAGAGGCAGAAGCCCTGTGGGAGCGGTTGTTCTGACCTCCTTGTAAGACAGACTTTGCAGCTGCAAGAGCCCTCCAACTCCCAATTGGTTCCTAAAGGACAATAGGACAAGAGGAAAACACACACACACAGAGAGACAATGGAAAATTACCTGGAAAAACAGGGCAGAGGAGTTTTCTGGATAGAACCAGTCTATCTCATGGGGCAGCTAGGTGGCACAGTGGATAGAGCACTGACCCTGGATTCAGGAAGATCTGAGTTCAAATCCAGCCTCAGACACATAACACTCACTAACTGTGTGACCCTGGGCAAGTCACTTAACCCCATTGCCTAGCCAAAAAAAAAAGAACCAGTCTATCTCAAACAGACAATGAAGATGGACGATACACTTGGCTCAGAATTAAACAGAAGGAGAAGAGCAAGCTGGATGACCTGTAAGAAATCATCTAGTTCTTTTAATGACCCTAAGCGGCAGCTAGGTGGCAAAGTGGATAGAGCGCTTGGCCTGGAGTTGGGAAGACCAGGGTTCAAATCTGGCCTCAGACCCTTGTTAGCTGTGTGACCCTGGGCAAGTCACTTAACCCTGTTTGCTTCAGTTTCCTCATCTGTAAAATGAGCTGGAGAAGGAAATGGCAAACTACTCCTATATCTTTGCCAAGGAAACCCCAACTGGGGTCACAAAGAGTTGGTATATGGTAGGTGTGATTAAGTTATAATATATTGTCAATCAAGAATTATTCAAGAGAAGATGTACAAAGGATATGGAAAGATGAGCAGAAACAGATGAAACAAACAAAAAAGCAAGGCTGGTCATGTGATAAGAGAGAGGGAAAACTGATAAACAGCCATCATACTCTATAGGAATGCTTGAGATATCAAAAGAACTGGAGGAAGGCTTCCAACATATTGAGGGTGCAACAGATAGAGTGCTAGGCCTGGAGTCAGGAAGACTTGAGTTCAAATCCTACCTGAGACAATTACTAGCTGTGTGACCCTGGACAAGTGACAACTTCTGCCTCAGTTTCCCCATCTGTAAAAGAGGGGTAATAATAGCACCTATCTTCCAGGGTTGTTGTGAGGTTTAAATGATATAATACTTGTAAAGCTCTTTGCAACCTTAAAGCACCATGTAAATGCTAGCTATTATTTTTATGTTGAGTAGACATGGACAAGAGTCACCCAGGATAAGTCTGCAATAGTAGAAGGAAGATCCACAAATTAATGAGGTGAAAACCTCATCAAAGAAGAGAAGCTACTCAGAGCTAATCTGGGAAGCAATTTGTATCTAGGCCCTGTGAATTTAAAGAACCGTGGCATTAATTAAATTATTCATGGTGGTGACATTATCCTCAGAACTGGACATTGACGTATCTGGTTCTAGAAATCTAACTAGGTTGAGGCACTTGGAGCTTTGTCCCAGGGTACCAGTATCTGAAGGATCCTGAAAGCACTTGGGCTCTTCAGAAGCATAGGAAATGAGTTCAGCATCTGATTAGCAAGAATATTTAGTAGGAAGCTATAAGATGACGACTTCCATTATGTCCCCTGGTAGTTGCAATCCAAGTGAGCTCTTCCCCTGTCCTATCCCATCCTGCCCCTACTATTCCTGCTTTTGTTGTTCAGTCGTGTCTGACTCTTCGTGACTCCATTTGGGCTTTTCTTGACAAAGACACCGGAGTGGTTTGCCATTTCCTTCTCCAATTCATTTTTTACACATGAGGAAACTGAGACAAGCAGGGTTAAGTGACTTGCCCAGGGTCACACAGTTAGTAAGTGTCTGAGGTCAGATTTGAACTCAGGAGGAGTCATCTTGCTGACAGCACTCAATCCACCATACCACCTAGCTGCCCAAATGACATCATAAGATGACTTCCCTCATGTCCCTGAGTAGTTGCAACCCAAGTGAGCTCTTCCTTCGTCTTATCCCACCCTGCTGCATTCCGTGCCCTAGGCTGAAATTTTAAGTTTGAGCTCTACCACAGTGACTTCTCTGTGTCCCACAGTCTCTTCCCACATCTTTTGTTAGTCCTTCCCCCAAGTGAATTTGTCTTTTTAAAAATTGTTTTCAAGGGCTGTTTTGTGCTGCTTGTCCCAGGCATGCTTTGTATCCTTCACCCAGGGTTCCAAAATTGCTAGTTATGCCTCTGGATGGTTCTGATCGCTTTCCATTCTTTCTCTCTCTGCTGCCCTTTTTTATTCTCCTCATGGCTTTTAATATTCTCCTCAAAACAGAGGACAGAGATAGATGGAAGCAAGATTTTAGATAATAATTCAGGCCTGTAATTTAAATAATTTTAGTTTAGAATGAATCTCTATTCAACAAATGCTGTTAAAGGATGGTCTCCAGACCAAAGACTTTGGGTTTGGTTTTTTCTTTTTCGGCTTTGAGATCCTATCCCTACTGCCCTGATGTATTTTGGTTCTAAAGACTCATTTCTGAAAGACATAAAGAAGTAATTGTCCACTTTTCATGACTCTGTGGGACATACTGTCCGTGAAGTTTTCTTGGCAAAGATACTGCAGAGGTTTGCCATTTTTTTTCTCCAGTGGATTAAGGTAAATAGAGGTTAAGTGATTTGTCCAAGGTCACAGAGCTAGCAATTGTCTGAGGCCAGATTGAAACTCAGGTCTTCCTGACTCCAGGCTCAGAGCTCTATCCACTGAGCCACCAAGCTGCCTCTAAAGGAGTAATTAGCCTCTCATAAAAGCTACCTGGTCATTATGGCACAGGAGTTGAGGGAGAATAAAGATGAACTGTAATTGTTATTAGCCAATTTGGGATCCATATTTAATCAAGTAGAATGGCTCATAGAGGAACAGAAGACCACACAAACTCAAACATGGATCAGACTCAATGTAATTATCCTGTGAATTTGGGCAACGTGGCCAGCCTGTTGTTCGTCCTTTGTTTCAAAGAGGACCTATGACATCAAGGGGTGATATCTTAACTTGAGAGTAAATTGGATTGAAGTGAGGCAGCATTGCTCAAAGTCATTAGCCAGACTCTTCCAGAGTCATCAAAGTCCAGTGGCAGGATGAAAGTCAGATGGCCCAGGATACAGTGGATGACTTTGTCATCTTTGATATCTGACTAAGCTCTAAACATTTCACAGCACCTGCTTTCGCTGCCCTTCTTGGCCATTGGAACAAATTGTTCTCATCGGTCCACGCCACTAGGAGAAATCTTCACATGCTTGGGGTAGACACCCCCCTAACTCACCAACGGGTTTGAGGTCAACCCTCAGGTTTTACCCTCAACCTGGTTAGCCAGGAGGAAGTTTACCAGGGTGTGGCCACTGCACATGCTACACCTTCTTGGAGCCACAGGTGAGAGTTGGATGACAGATGGACATCAAAAGTGAATGAGTCCTGAAAGTCCCAAAAAAGGCTCAGAAAGCCCTTAAACCAGAGGTGCTAGTTCTCCCTGAGCACCCCATACACCCCATGTGGCCAATCAAACAATACCTCAGACCTTTAGACCATCTTTGCCCTCCATTCTCTGGGTAATTTGGGTAAGAGCAGGCTTTTTAGGCTCAAATAACCCAGATACCACAATTGTGGCTGTGTTGACCTTACCTAGAAGTAGATCAAAGTAAAGATGGCAAGATGAGGGACACTGTGTGGAGGACCCTAAAGAGAAAAAGTTACGTTAGAAAAAGAAAAAAAAACACCAGACTGGGAATCAGGGGATTTATATTGGAGCTGGAATTAGTATGGGGTGACAAGGGCTTTTCCCCTGGGCCTGACGTTTATGCTTCTTCCTCCTAGGGCGTTATACTGTTAACAAGAGCCCCAGTCCAGGGCTACTATCTATATGCCCCTCACTCACATTACCTCCTTAAAAGCCCCATCCTGGACCCACCTTCCCACCAGGATGGTATGGAATGTTTCTTTTTTTTTTTTTTGTCATTCAACAAGAATTTATTAAGCACTTACTTTGTGTTAGGCACTGTGCTCATATACTGGGGATACAAAGAAAGGAAGAAATATGATAGCTGTACTCAAGGAGCTGCCTTTTTTTTCTTATAATGACTTTTTTTTTCAGCATTCACTTTTATAGGATTTTGAGTTTCAAATTTTTTCTCCCTCCCCCCTCCCCGAGATGGCAAGCAATCTGATATAGGCTATACATGTACAATCATATTAAACATATTTCCACACTAGTTATGTTGTGAAAGAAGAATCAGAACAAAAGGGAAAAACCACAAGAAAGAAAAAAACAAAAAAAGAGAAAATAATATGATTTGATCTGCATTCAGACTCTATAGTTCTCTCTGGATGCAGATAGCATTTTCCATCAGGAGTCTTTTAGAATTGTCTTAGATCTTTGTATTGCTAAGAAGAGCTAAATCTATCAAAGCTGATCATCACACAACATTGCTGTTACTGTGTACAATGTTCTGGTTCTGTTCACTTCACTTAGCATCAGTTCATGTAAGTCTTTTCAGGTTTTTCTGAAATCCACTTGTTCATCATTTCTCATAGAACAATAGTATGGAATGCTTCTTATCCCCACTCCCTCCCATCAAGCTGCCTGGCCTCAGAACTCACTTCCCTTGAGGGTACCTAGATCAGCAGCAAGTGTAGCTAGCATGCACTAGTTACTACGATCCCTCCTCCACTGCCCCCCATCCACTGGAAAGTCAGCCCTGGTTCTCCTCACTGCCTATCCTCTTCTGCCCTTTCTGCACCTTGCCCTCTGCAACCGTGGTCGAGTGGGAAATGCATTGGATTTGGAAGCAGAAGAAAGAAGTTTGAATTCTGATTCTGCCACATTACATGAGTGGTTTTGAGCAACTCACAAGTACTCTGGACCTTAGATTCCACATCTGTAAAAGGAGAAAGATGTACTACATCAGCGCTGTCAGACGCACTGCCCCAGGTACCCACAACACTCCTGAGTGCAACCCAAACCAGACAAAAATGTAATTGGGAAATAT